TGTTTTTCCCTTTGTGAAAAATTGGTAGTATTCCATCTGGCAGGGGTTGTCCGACTTCTCTTGTTACGCCAAAAGCAACGGAAACCAAGGCTTCAAGAGATCTGTGGGATAATTTTGAAGTGGGCAAAAGTTTAAAATCTGGGGCAATAAGCGCCAGTAGGCGAGTTTCGATGTAGATTATACACTTCATCATAGCGATATTCCCTTGCAAAACTATATTGTGCTGTTGAAGAGCTTTGCTTCATTGAACTTTGCTTCTCAGAATAAATAAAATTATTATAAAAGATAAGATGGCCTTCTTTGAACACTTTAACTTCACTTTTGTATTTAAAACAAATATATCCATTTCGTTTGTCATGTATCAAAATGTATCATCTTTAACTCGTAAAGGTTAAATATGGGCATATTTTGAAATATGAGATTTATAGAGGATAGACATATTTTTTTAATTTGAGCAATTACTCGAACTACCTGATAGTATTGAGATGTCATAGAGCCATTGGGCGGAAATATATATGGTGGATACGAGGAGAAACTGGGTTTTGATTAATCTCCTGAGACAACATTGTTGGGGGGACTTTAATTTGGTATGCAAGTCCCCCCAACAATATATATAGTGAATTGAAGGAGGCTCCTATTTGATGCAACCTACGATAAAAATGCTCGCCATTAGGGACTAAAACGGCAGCATGCTTAATTTAAGGGTTTCTCCTGAATTGAATATAGACTTCACATTGATGCAAAATTAGATATGAGACTGAGATATAAATCAGTAGATGGAGAAGCTCCTTAGGAATATGGTAGAGGAAATATTAATAGGATGACCAGGCCTTCGCATTGGTTCTTCATGAATTGTATAGCCAAAAGAACTAATAGCTAGTCGAGTATTGAAAACATATGACGTCAATTTATTTTGGCAAATTACGATTTATGAAGCAATTGTACATTTTTGTATTTGCTTTGTAAGTCTGCCGTTAAAAGGATGATTTGTATAGTAAAAACTTAAGTTGATATAGCAACATACAAAATGACCGGAGTAACTTGCACTTGAATATTTAATTAATTTCGTGTCTTATAGTATAAAAATATAAAATAGTAGCATACTGTAAAAAATAATTTAATTTAATTTCTTTGAGTCTAGCGAATGCGCATTTTTATAATGCGAAAATTATAATAACCCTTGCAAATGGTTGGCAGAAACTGGTATTCCCTAAATTGCTTTGCTTTGTATGAAAGTCATCCCGGCTATTTTGGCAAAAGAGCGGAGGCATCTTTCTGATTAAAACCTTAAAATATTAAAAGTTCGAAACAGTATATATATTTTCCTGAAATATTATAAATAAATAAATGTATATATATATATATATATATATACAATATACAATATATTTTTCTGACATGGTGCATTGAGCTTAATTTTGTTTCCTGTCATCATCGGTGAAAGTCATTGCACTAAAAGGTATATCTAAAATCGAGCATTAAAGGCAAACACTCCATCCGGTTAGTCGTAAGAAGCTCAGCCGTTCGCACTAGTGTGATAAGCAAATTCAATGACGATTTACTATACGTTTTTCGAGTTCGCCAACAATTTTACTTTATATTGTATTTTAATTAGTCAGTATGGTCTCTTCGAAACAGGCCCATTCTACTTTTTCCACGCATGGCCAAAGTGAAGCAAGTTTCCGTACAACTTACAATCAACTATTTGAGGCTCAGTTTCTCATCAAATCAAAGGTTACCTCATCAAAAATTCAGCCGAGCAAAATATGATCTCATCTATACATTTTTAATCTGCTTTCCAATTTCATGGAGATAGGCTAGATGAGATAAGACATTGGGATCAGATTAATCAAACCTTTAAAAAGTAATAGAAAATCACTAGCCATGGCATTTTCTATGATAATTAATTGATTTATTCTTGAAATCATCTGCCATTTCTTCCTCAGTCTTCAGCGCTATTCACCAAATTGGCTACATGCAACTTTAGCAGTAATCACATCACCAGAATTTAGGAATTTGTAGTTAACCCTTCTTATCACAGGCCATAGAATGCTGATCATACACTTATTACCAGTAAGTTCTGGTTTGGCAGCCTTCAGCATTTTTCTTTTAATTTTCCATTTGAAAGGCCTAAATCGCAAAAATTCTGCATTAGGCTATCTTTTTCTTCATTCGTTCGATAATTTTTCCCATATTTATACAGTATTTCCTATCATCGAGTTGTTTTTTCCACACAATTTGATGATTACCATTCAGATCTTTTTACAAGTCTTTATTCGTTTTACGAAGAGAAGACTATAACGAAATCTTATCTAACCACAGCACAGTTCCCGTTCAGTTTAGTCTATGCTGCCTGAAGGAAATATCGCATAAAATTTTCGATTCCAAATCTATTTTTGCCCATCGTATTCCCTTTGACTTGATCTATTTTTTGGCCAACTTGGCAGCGTTTCTTCTGAGTTAAAAATCTCGCGAAATAGCCTTTAAAACATTCAGAATCCGTCGCAGTTTAACGAATCAACGCTTTTTCTTAGCCTACAATAATTGAAACGTTTTCTTTTGAGTCGTAGAAATTACCCTATTTGCGACCTATTCACTTCCCAGAATTTCGTTATAAAGTGGAGCAGTATCAACTTGGAGAACCGGACTCTAGCATCAAGTGGAGCATGGACAAATTTGTCAGTGCTCCCCTGAATATTCTTCACTGCTCGCTTGGCGACTAGATGGTGCATCGTTCGAGTACGCACGAATGTATACCGCATTAAGCCCTTTAAGCAATGGACATTGAGAATAAATTAACGCACTCGAATAGAATGCCAATTATCAATTGATAATTGTCAAAGTGTGTATTGAAGAGATTCAAGTTTCGTTCCTTGTTGTCAGCTATCGGTGGGCTTATTGGAAGCTTCTTGTTGGCATGCCCCCTGAGGCGATTTCTTTCTATCTCGGTCACCTCGTGCCAAACTTTCGCCCTTTTTATGCCAGACAGAGTATCACTTGCACGACTATATTCAAGCCATCTTCTGCATATGTGCATTTTGATGGGGTATACAGTGATTTGGTTAGTTCACGTCATGTGCGTGTGCCGTTTTGTGTGTGCATCTATGTCTCTCATCAAGTACAGAACAAAAGAGATTCATCTAGACCTAACGTTGTTGGCAGATATCAGCTTGCAAAGATTGACCGCGATTCGACAACACACACGACCCGGGTTCGAATCCCGTCTGGGTGCTGGTGAGACTGAGGCGGGGTCGGACTTGCAGTTCAGACCGAATGAGAAAGTCTCGTGATGACTTCAAACCGCACTTTTTGAGCGACTTGAGGCTACTCTAGTTCGTATTCCGATAGCATTTCCTCGTGCATACGTACATTTAGGGGAATGCGACGGTAGACGAACAATAGCTCGGTGCCTCGTGTGTGTCCAGCATGGCACCGATGGCTGTCTGAGTCCCGGGTGGCCGAATTGGCGACTTATTTCGAGTCTCGTCGCCTCGATATGAGTCTACCGATAGTCACAAGACACGCGTTAGTGTACTCTCTTTTTAGACTACCGCCTCAGCGAGTTCTGGTTCTGTTCGATCCTCTCGTTGGCAAGAGGCAAGCGCGCCTGAGCGCGCCCCCGCAGAGGCAGGGGACACGCGATTTGGGCAATCGGTAACTGTGGCAGACAGACGGGCAACACGGCAATGGGTGAAAAGGTGAGCAACAACAGGAGAGAGATTATCCGTCCGGCCCAGACGGCAGAACAACGTATGCGCCCAGCCTCGATCGGCCAGGCAGAATGGCAAGCTATGCAGTTGTCGTCTTCTGCCTGGTATATCCCACAGCCTGTGGCCATCAGATATTGGCGAAATTCCATTGAATTTGCTGAGCAGCAATGGGCAAAACTGCTTCCTCTGCCAGACCACTCTGTCCCTCTGCATCCTCGAGGATCCAGAGTTCTGCGGTTCTGACGCTACAGGCAGCCGCCTCGCTCCGGCTCGCCTACACCTCTTGAGACGCCCACAATTACGGCCGGTTCTGGTCTCTCTCCAGCCTCACTCTACCCTCGAGCATCCACCCTCGGCCAGATCAAACAAATCCATCTGCCCAATTGCAAAGATGGCAGTTTCCCGGGACAAACTTCGCGCACTCGGCCAACGTGGAGACCTGTAAACAGGGTCAAACTGAACACCTCGGAGCTAGAAACCCTACACGAATTGTCGTCTGTCTCGCCGAAGACAGCCTCCAAAATGGCTCATAGTCCTTCAGCCTGTCTATCCACCCACCGGAAGAGATGGGCGTTTGTACGAAATTGAGGGGACATTTGGTGCAGGCAGAGGTACTCACAGGGCTCTTACGCTCCATCACAAGTGACTAAGTCGGCATGGCGAATACTCACTTTTCCCACTTCATTTCGCATCGCATGCGACAATAATTCTCTTTTTTATTCAATTATTCTTCCTCGCATTGCATACATTTGCAATAATTTGCGCTTCCTTATTTGTTCGACGGTCAATTAATACCTTTTCCCGGCTCATTGGGCTTCAGTCTTTATTCTATCAGTCCTCTCTCTTAATCGCATTACTCACATTCACTTGCCCAAGCCTGTTCATTCTTGCCTCTGTTGCATCAACTAGGCTCCCATGGACAGCACTTGCTTTAATAGCAAATAAAAGACATTTCACGATAAGTAAAGAGCCCAGGCAACCATTCTTCTCTGCTCGTAGAACGGAATTGCATTACAGCCAAGCTCAAGCCTTTGGAATTTGTTAAAAGGTGATGAAGGACCGGCAGTTTAATTTTCCCAAAATGATATGAGTAGGTCTCATGTTTCCGTCAAAGTTTACTTAGACTTGCTTCCCAAAAAGTGGTCTCATTCAGCTTAGACTGGACTGCAGTTTCGACATCGCCCAGCTCTCATAAGCACCTCTAGCGGGTCTCGAACCCGGGCTGTTGTAGCGCAGCGCATAAATTAACGCAGTTAAATATAATGCCAATTATCAATTGATAATAGTTGAGCTCAACTCCATCTCTTGCAAAAGTTTAATTTTCCCAAGACGATATGAGTAGGTCTCATGTTTCCATCAAAGTTTACTTAGACTTGCTTCCAAAAAAGTGGTCTCATTCAGACTCGACTGGACTGTAGTTTCGACAGCGCACCTCTGGCGGGTCTCGAACCCGAGCTGTTATAGTGTAGCGCATCATCTTGACGTGTTAAGGACTGATAGTCGGCATTTGCGCGTCTAAAGTGTAGTTCGAGCTATGCTGCGGGCAGTAGCAGATAAACTTGATTTTTAATGCTCCTTTTAGCAGCAAAAGTCATTTTTTTAAGCAGATCATCATCAGAACTTTCTCTATCTTCTGCTTCTTAGTATGCCTTTGGCTGCGAATGGTAGTGATGATACACTTCAAGGCTCATCTCAAGTTTATTTATCGGGTAAAGTTCAAGTCTTGGCGAGAGCTGTTCTACAAGAACTTGGGCGAAGACAAAAACGGTGTGTTTATTAGTTTGGCCATACGCTTTTTCCATAGATAAGGTCCATTTTAATAAAATGCAAAAATGGTAAAACCTAGAGGAGACTTT